GTGAAGTGAAGATCAATAAACATAATTTTATTCAAATCATGACCTCATTTGCATAATTTATGAGGAAGTGCTATAATAGCCTTTTTGTTATGATAAGGCTGTCATTGGATGGAGAATATGATCAACTGATATAATCCATGCAAATGAGGCTCTTATTTACAAAATAAATGATTAAAATTGTATAATTTGTCACCCGCAAGAGTTAACACCATTTGGCGAAGGTATGAGATCGTGGAACTCTTGTTTGGTAGTTTTATCTGTCTCTTGTTAGACAGTAGACTTCTCACCCTTCTTCCATGTGTATTTCCTTGAGTTGAATTGTCCGTGCATCCTCATACTTTTCTGTGAGAGAAAGAACAGGCCATGCATATGACGAATTGAAATACATGTTTAAGTCAGTGTCATTAACATCCTCATACCAAAACCCTGTCATGCCAAAAATTGTATTCCAGCAAAGTTCTGTTTCAGTTAGCCAATGAAGAATTAACATTATCTTTGGGCTACTTCATCATTATACAAAGTCACAACTGTGTTACAATATTACACAACGGGCACATACATACATACAGTACATGGTTCCAGCACTCAAATCCTTTGCTACTTATCATTAAAGACCAATAAGAAAACAATAAAATATCGCTTTTCTGACATGTATCTCCCACACCTGTTTTTTCATCAGAAGACAGAATATTCCTCTCTTCATCCCTTCCTGTTTCTTTCAGTAGTTCTGAGAGGATGGCCTGTGCGATGGGGACCATCATGGCAGTTGTTGCGGTGTTGCTGATCAACATGGACAGGAACGCTGTGGCTGACATCATTCCTAACATCAACCTGGAGGAAAAAACAAATTCTTAAAACTGCCCGCTGATATTCTCTGAGACCTTAGCTTATTTCACTAATAATTATTTGACCATAATCACTTATACATGTATTAGTATACAAACAAGAAATTGGAGTCTTTCAGTACTTTTAGGAAGTACTAGTATGCAATTCTCCGCTTCCAGCCTTCCTGCATTCCCCCAGGAAGTCTCATTCCTATTTTTTCTCCACCCAGATCCTGAAGATACCTTGGACTTCCTGTCATTCTGCCTATCAATCTTCCCACCCATGTGCTGTCAACCTACTCTGTCCATACAAACAGATAGATTGAACCACATATATATAGCTCAGGCACCAAAAACAAGATCTAGCTGTACCAACTTCCAGCATGATATAGCTAAGCCATCTGAATCTGAGTGCAAACAGCCTACTATAGCAAGAGGAAAACATGTATTGAGTGGAGCTCACCATCTTGGCTCTGAACCCACAGTCAGAAGCACCCTCAGTGCTATCCTCTTATGGAGGTTCCACCGTTCTATGGCCACAGCAACCAGCAGCCCTCCAACAAACAGGAAATTGTTGTCCTGTGGATACATTTGTTAGTTACATTCGTAGCTTTCATACACATAATACTAGTAAACAACAAAATCTGCCACCTTTGAGTCAAGTCTATCAGTGTACAGTAACAAAAAAAAAGAAAATTTTACGGCTCTTGGTGGCAAATGTCGACACATTGGTGAACCAAATCCGTAGTGTGCTTTTGGCACACAAGTAGACAGATTAGCCTAACAGGCTCAGTGGGCGTCACTCCACCATCAGGGAAAGGAAGGCAGTGTAAACCTTTCCTAAGGGCACAACGTCAGGACATTGGAGAGTTACTCAGTATCGAAGAACCCACCACCTATTGCTTCCGAGTCCAACACTCTAATCGCTGCGCCACCGACGCCACTGACACAGTACAGTGACAAGACATCAATAACATTTTACACACCCTTAAGTAGTTGATGCAGACGTCCTTTGATGGCTGGACCCCCAGCATGGGAAACAGAATGATGGGAAGAAGGGCTGTGACGGCTAACGGTAGAACTTCTGTGGTCCAGTACACCGCCATGATGATCACAGCATAGGCACAGGCTGCAATCTAAAGCAGTAAAGATGCATTTAATATCATATATGCCAAACTGACTTGGCTGATTGCTATTTCATAGACCACTATACTTACGGATGGTGGGGAAGGGGGTTGGGTGAGGGGGTCTAGAGAGAGGGATCCAATATTAACAAATAGCCAAGATTTTCACCTTCAATATATGATATTATATCTTACACTAAGTTGGGAGCACTGTAAGTTCTTACATGGAGGTAGAAAAAAAACTTTTTTCTACCTCCATGGTTCTTACTATGTCTACACAACTTTTGCACATGTACCATTATGGGCATGTCACAGTGACAATCTCTCCCTAGGACATTGCACAAAAAGTGGTTGGATGTTAGAAATTGCAAAGCGTCCGATGGTCGTCCCATAAAGTTACATACAAGCATTTTAATAGTATTATCTTTTATCACATATTCTTTTTCCAATAAATTTTTTTAGGTTATACTGTAACTGTTACAATGTTTTAGTAAATAACTTGGTATACATCATACATGAAGTAAAACTTGTGAGTACTCAGTAGTTGTGTACAAGTACATGTAAATGTATGCAGAGCCACACTGAGGAATGCCTGATTGACATATGACCCCTGATGATGTCTCACAGGGCTGTCAACACACTGGAGTCCCAGTGGAGTGGAGATAAGAAATGATCAAACCATGATAACAACTAACTAATTTCAGAAACTCTATTATAGTCCTCTGTGTCCTGTTGCTTTGAGAAAGTCAGAAACTATTTTCTCGCCAAAAGTACAGTGATGTAAATGTTATCCGGTAATCATTTTGTTTACATGAACTCGGCCCTGTCTAACACAGCGGGTGGGAGTTCAGTGACCTCACGGTGATGCTACCCACGAACATGATCGGGTTACACACAGAAAAACACGCTATTTGTTGACGAAAAAGCACCAAAAGACATCTCACCTTGCTGTGCTCTGTTGAGGCGAAGTAGATCGGGAGTGGACACAGAATTACGGGTGTGAGAAAGAAGACGATAGACTTCCAAAACGACCGCAACTCCTTTACGAGCCTGGGCGCCATCTTGCTGCTGGGGGCGTCTCTTCAAAGTTTCGAGACTACGACTTGAGAAAATTTGGACGATCCGCTGTTTTGAGGGAAAACAGTCAAAGCGAATGCTTCGACGATTTTGTTACGGAGTTGGAGAAGGCCAAATTACGCGTTCTAGTCCACGACCACCTGCTGGAAAGTTCTTCCAGGTTTGACCGATTTTCGTCGCGCGTCTCTCCCCGCTGCGCTTTGAACCAGATGAAGATTTATGAGAGGCTACGAGAGGGAGTTTCAAGGTATCGCGGTCTGTATTATTTTCAGAACACACAAATTCAATATCTGACATTTAAGTACCATAATAAAATGTCGGACTTACATTTAATGACCACATTGCGATTTACTCCTAACAGCAACTTGTTTTCCCCTGACGTGCAAAATACAGTGTTTTCAAAACCCCTGCGGTAGACAAAGGAGGTCAATGACTTGCTCTGAACTTTGACCCGTTGGAAACATATGGCTGAGTGATTTGCAGGGACTTCATGATCACGCCCCATGCACTGAACCCAGGGCAACTTTCTTGGCCCCTGTCTTTGATGTTAAGTATAGCAACTAAATCATACCCCTTTGATGAGCTGTTTACGTTGTAACAAGATTTTCTAGCACGAACTTGAAGGTATGTCCGTCATAGCCTTTAAAATGTTGTGCCTGACATTATAGTCCCAGTATTTTTAGATTCATGTCATGGCCTCAACTTTGGCCTTGGGTCACAGAGTATGCTACGGCATGTAGATGCTACATTTAAACTATGCATCTCCATAGCAATCAGTAATGCGAGATATGTAGACCATTCTGAGGTTTGATGTCAGGATGTTATTCGTCGCTAACGAAATGCAATTATGACGTTCTCCCTAGAAATCGCACGGTGGCAGTTCTTCACAGTAACCACCCATAGACCTCCTCTTTCCTTCGTCAAGGCACGCGGTTTTGTAGTTATCACTTGGTGGTGTGTTTTTCTCACATTTTAGCGGTCTTTCCTGTTTCATTTTTGGGATCAGGTCCTGAGGTCCCTCTGTCTCTGTGGGTCCTTGTCTGATTAAAATACTCCCACACCCTGCTGGATGTCCTGCCAGATGTTGACCTACTGAACTTTTGACTCAGGTTTGTATCTGCCAAGTCAGGGTTGAAGGCAGAAAAGTGCAGTTTTAGGGGGGAGGGAGAAGGATATCGTATAAAGTTAGTATCGATCAGATCATGAATAATATTTTTCATAATGTTATATAACTTATATGATGAATAATATTTCTATCTTTATTCAAGTAATGCAACACAATGTTTCCACAGAACTACTAACAATACTTGCTCAGTGGAAGTGAGATTACAACATCATGCACTGTCATTGGAGAGATTGTCAGGTACTGTTACTGATATGGTGATGTTCATTTTGTGTTAAATCTTATTGTCTACAGCAATGTGTTATTGTTCATTGTCATTGTCACAGTTACTATTTAGGGCAGTCTACAGTGATATTTTAGACATTACAATGTGTCATAGATTATCAAGGACTTGTCCTTGTTTTCTATGGGAAGACTCTTTTATGTCATTATTGTCTTTCTTTGATCTTTCGCAGGTTCTAAAAATCCTGAATTAATTCTGATATGATTTAGCACACAAATATACTTATAGTGCATAAAGGAATTCAGTGTTAAAAAAGACATCATTTATTGATTCAGAAGAAATTCACTTATCTCATTTACTTGTTTCTATTTTCCAGGAGTGGTCCAAGATAGGACTGCCTCTTTCGACAACTAGCAATGAGGCCTGTAAGATGTATGATGCTACTGTCACACAGGTAATGTTACATGTATTATTTGGGGCTTGTTTGGACATTTACAATCATCCATTCAATTATATATTATATAACATTATATATATACAAATGTATAAAACTAAGCTTTCTTAACACTAGCCTCCTTTGCAGACATTCCAGGATTGGTCATTTTTTTTGGGGGGGGGGATTTTCCAATTCCAGAATTGTTCATTT